GCGGTGGTGGGGGAGGAGGCAGCGGCAGTGGCGGTGGAGGTGGGAGTGGGGGTGGATCTGGCCAGAAGGGTGGCCAGCAGCAGCAGCAGCAGCAACAGCCACAGCAGCAGCAGCAGCTTCCTCCCCTCACCTCCCAGCAGCTCAATGACTGGTATGCTGGGCGTGGGGCGTCTCGGGGTTCTGACCGCTGCCCCTATGTCATTCGTACTGGCCCCCGCAAGGGTCGCCCCTGCAACGGTTTTCACACTGAGTATCGTTGTTTTGCTAGGCTTAGTGACGCCTGGCGTACTAAGTATCCTGATGCTACTGAGTTCCCCAACTGGGCAGAGCTGCTTAGGCGTGATGTGCCTATCTTTGATCTGGACTATGATGTTATTCTTGCTGCCATGTATGCATTGACTGTTAGTGCTGAGGGTGACTGCTACTTGTGTGTGCCGCCTGACCCTGGTATTGACCCCGGTATAAGGGCTGCAGCCCTAGGTGCTAGTGAGTCTGCTCCCCTTGGTACTGAGTCGGCTCAGGCCTTGCACACGTTTACACTTGACTCTGGTGCTTCCCGCTGTTTCTTTCGCGATAGCACCACCGTCACTCCCCTCCCTGCACCTGTCCCTGTCTCCCTGGCTGACCCCTCTGGGGGCCCAGTGCTTGCACGAGCCACGACTGTGCTCCCGTGCCCGGCGGTCCCGTCTGGTGAGCTGTCAGGTCTCCACGTTCCCTCGTTCTCTACGAACCTGGTGAGCAACGCCGTCCTCCAGGATCACTGGGTTGACACCTGGACTCCTGGAGGGCAGCGTGTGGCGATCTGCACGTGCTCCAAGACTGGCCGCCACCTAGCCACGTTCACTCGTGAGCCGGGGTCCAGTCTGTACACCCTCACCACTGTTTCACGCTCCGCTCCTTTGTCTCCGCAGCTGTACGCGTCTGCTCAGGTAGCTACCCAGTGTGAGTGCCGCCGCCTGTCGCACGACACGCTCCTGTGGCACCACCGCCTTGGTCACCCCTCCCTGCCTCGCCTTCGTAGCATGCACTCTCGCTCTCTGGTCTCTGGGCTTCCCAGGTCTCTGCCTGCCCTCCCTCCCTCGCCTGCGCCGCCCTGCATTCCCTGCGTCGAGGGGCGGCAGCGCGCCGCTCCTCACTCCTCCTCGTTTCCTCCCACAGAGGCTCCCCTGCAGACGCTTCACCTGGACGTGTGGGGCCCAGCCCGCGTCCAGGGACAGGGCCGTGAGCGGTACTTTCTGCTGGTTGTCGACGACTTCACGCGTTACACCACGGTCTTCCCCTTGCGCAGCAAGGGAGACGTCCCTGCTGTTTTGATCCCCTGGATCCGCGCTGTGCGTCTCCAGCTCCGCGAGCGGTTCGAGCGGGACTTTCCTGTCCTGCGTCTGCACTCTGACAGAGGTGGTGAGTTCTCCTCTGACCTCTTGGCAGCCTTCTGTGCGGAGCACGGCATCACCCAGTCGTTCACGCTTCTGGCCTCTCCGCAGCAGAATGGGGTTGCTGAGCGCCGCATTGGCTTAGTCATGGAGGTCGCTCGTACCTCCATGATCCATGCGGCGGCTCCCCATTTTCTGTGGCCGTTCGCGGTCCGGTACGCCGCGCATCAGCTCAACCTCTGGCCCCGTGTCTCCTTGCCGGAGACCTCGCCCACACTGCTGTGGACGGGGGAGGTTGGCGATGCGTCGCGTTTCCGGGTCTGGGGTGCTCGTGCCTTTGTCCGCGATCTCACCGCGGACAAGCTCTCTGCTCGCGCCATTCCCTGCGTCTTCCTTGGTTTTCCTCCTGACGCGCCTGGCTGGCAGTTTTACGACCCCACCTCGCGCCGTGTCTTTGCGTCTCAGGACGTCACCTTTGACGAGTCTGTTCCCTTCTACCGTCTCTTTCCCTACCGCACTGTCTCTCGCCCCCCCCCGCCGCTCTTTCTCGCTCCAGGTCCTCCCCAGGTAGACCCCCTCCCCGCGCCAGGTCCTGCTCCTTCAGGTGTTTCTCAGGTAGACCCTCCGGTACCTGCGCCTGTTGAGGTCACTGGTGACTCAGGTCCTGCTGGAGGTGGTCCTGCTCGGGGTGCTGTCTCTGGGGGTGCTGAGCCTGGGGGTGCGGAGCCTGAGCGAGAGGCGCCTAGAGGTGCTGAGCCTGGGGGTGCGGAGTCTGGGGATGCCGTGCCTGTGCGTGAGGAGCCTGGCGGTGCTGAGCTTGGGGGTGTCGAGTCTGAGGGTGCTGTGCCTGCGCGTGAGGAGCCTGGAGGTGCTGAGCTTGCGGGTGCCGAGTCTGCGGGTACTGAGCCTACGCGTGAGGAGCCTGGGGGTGCTGGCGCTGGAGGTTCTGGAGCAGCTGGGGGTGCTGGCGCTGAGGGTTCTGAGTCTGCTGTTGCGCGGTCTCCTTGGAGTAGCCGCCTTCGTCCACGTGTGCCTCTCACCCCACAGCAGCTCCAGGACTGGTACGGTCACCGTCAGCGTCGCGCTGCTGGAGCTAGGAGTGGTGCTGGACCTTTGGACGAGTCCGTAGAGCCGAGTGGTCCTTACCCAGAGCTAGTCGGCTGCCTCATGTACCTGATGACTTGCACTCGACCTGACCTCGCGTACCCTCTTGGTCTCCTCGCTCGCTACGTGGCTCCTGGTCGACACCGACCTGAGCACATGGCTGCTGCTAAGAGGGTACTGCGCTACTTGTGCAGCACATCAGGCATGGGGCTAGTGCTTGGAGGGACGAGCCCAGTTGTCCTCACTGGGCACTCAGACGCTTCTTGGGTTGACGACCTGGCTACTCAGCGGTCGTCACAGGGTTACACCTTCAGCCTTGGCTCTGGTTCAGTTTCGTGGCGTTCTACACGCTCGTCTTCAGTTCTTGGCTCCAGTTGTGAGGCTGAGATCTACGCCACCGCCATGGCTGCACAGGAGTTACGCTGGCTCACCTACCTGCTGACTGACTTGGGAGAGCAGCCTCGTTCTCCTCCAGTGCTGTACGTTGACAACAAGGCCGCCATTGCCTTGTGTGAGGAGCACAGACTGGAGCACAGAACGAAGCACATTGCTCTGCGTTACTTCCTGGCTCGAGAGTTGCAGCAGCGAGGCCAGCTTTGTCTTCGTTACGTGGCCACTCGGGCCAACACTGCTGATATATTCACCAAGGCACTTCCGTCTGGTGATCATCAGCGCTTTTGTACTCTGTTAGGCCTTGTGCCTATGCTTCCACACTTGCTGTAGTCTTTGCTTGTACTGTGATCTATATACATATATACCTGCATGCTGGCTCTTGCTAGGTAGCTCGACACTGTACTGTCATTGCTGCATATATATCTCTGCATGTGAACTGGCCTTGTGGCCATTTGCTTGTGCTCAGAATGTGTGGTGACGTTGTGATCCACCCTGAGCTTGTTTTGTTTCTCTTGACTGGTCTTGTGACCCGTTGCTCTCCCCCACTTTGCCTATGGGGGTGTGTCAAATGATATATATGTGTGATACATATTGGTAGGCTGTAGTGGGGTAGATGTTATAGGGGATAACCCCTTAGGGTTTTCCTACTTGTAAAATTTCTCTCGATAGTCAACTCACCTTGCCTAGCTATCTCAACAGCCACCCCCACACTCGCCACCCCCAAACCCTAACAGAGGCAGAAGGGGGGGGGGGGGGATGCGGGGGCGATTCGGGGGATGGTGCGCGGCTCCCCAGGGCGACGCGACGGGGCAGCGGGCGGGGCGTGCGCGGCTTCCCAGGGCGCCGCGACGGGGCAGCGGGGGGTCGCGCGCGGCTCCCCAGGGCGCCGCGACGAGGCAGCGGGGTTGCGCGCGGCTCCCCAGGGCGCCGCGACGAGGCAGCGGGGCCGCGCATGGCCCCCCAGGGTGTCAGAGGTCCACTGGGGATCCCCGATGATCCTAGGGAAGGGTTACAGGCACGTCGGCCTGGGGGGTTATGGGCGCACTCACCCGCTATATTAACAAGCCCTTTTATCCAAGTGGTTAGTGGCTGGGATTCTGACATGGTATCAGAGCGAAGGTCTCGGGTTCGATTCCCGGTGTGTGCACTTCGGGCATCCCAGTGCGGGGGGGTGTCAGAGGTCCACTGGGGATCCCCGATGATCCTAGGGAAGGGTTACAGGCACGTCGGCCTGGGGGGTTATGGGCGCACTCACCCGCTATATTAACAAGCCCTTTTATCCCAGTGGTTAGTGGCTGGGATTCTGACACAGGGCGCCGCGACGAGCGGCGGGGCCGCGCACGGCTCCCCAGGGCGCCGCGACGGGGCAGCAGGCGTCGCGCGCGCTTCCCAGGGCGCCGCGACGGGGCAACGGGGGTGACGGGGGGGTCTGCTGCAGGCGACGGGCGGGCTGCAGCAGGCGACGGGAGGGAAACGACGGGGGGAAACCGCCGCGCGCCCCGGGGCGCACGGCGGGCAGGAAACCACCGCACGCTTCATGCGCACGGCGAGCAGAAAACCGCCGCGCGCACGAGCGCGTGGCGGGAAGAAAAATCCGTCGCGCGCCACGGGGCGCGCGACACAGAGAACAGCAGCGGAAGCTAACGGGTGGGACCACCCACAGGATCGACCCAGGAGGGTCGACCTGCTCTGATAGCATCTCAAGATAGTAGGACGAAAGATAGAACAGAGAAGAGGGGGTTGCACTAGCAGCATGCAAGGTACATATAGGAAACCCTAATTTGGGTTGTACTCGCTATAGAGTACCCCACTGCAGGCTAGACAATTACAACATTCTGACACTGTGTTCATCACGATTCACCACCTCTTTGTGACATTGCTTTGTTGTTGCCTCCTCGTTGCCTCCCAACGTCCCTCTGGACTCGTTCCTTCTTGCCACCCCGGCTGTTGCTTATTGCCAGGCGTTCCTTCTTGTTCCCTGCCCTTTCCCACCCCCCTCCCCCCCAAGTCTCGTTGAAGTCTATCAGCAAGTTGACTGATGAGCGAGAACACAGCTGCAAGTAATAACACATTCTATGTGCCTGCTAAATACGGCACACACCTAGAAGTAACCCAGTGGCGGTTCTCTTGCTAGTCATACAGGTCAACATCCTCCACATCATCCTCATCCTCGTAGTACTCCTCTTCCCCTGACATGTCATCCGAGTCCCTTGCACTCTCCTCATCATAATCCCGCCGTCTGCCCCTCTCACTGTCCACGCGGTGTGAAAGCCGCTCTCTCGACCCGCCCTCACCCCGCCTGGACGTGCTGCTGTGCTGAGTGCCATGCTCACCCCCTCTCGAGCCCCTTGACGACTCCAGGGTGTTTATTCTCCCCAACAGCCGCCCCTTTTGCCCCTCTCCATCCCTCCCTCCATCACCATATCCATCTGCACTCAACTGGAACGTGCGTGTGCGGTTGAATTCCCGTTGCTCAGCACCGCCACCACCCGCCATGGTGTTGGTGCGTTTGAACTGCTGCAGGTCCGCCCCCAGAGCCTGCTCGATGCGTGTCAGCGTGCGCGACAGCTGCGCATTCGACTCAGCCGCAGCAGCGGCACCACTGTTGTCCACCATCGTGGTGCTGCGGGTGAATGCAGGCCCGCCGCCACCGCCGCCGTCGGCCATGGTGAGTGTGCGCTGGAACGTTGGCACGGACAGCAGCTGCGCTGCCGGCTGATCCGCAATCACAAACGTCTGCTGCTTGGCCAGGCTGATCTCCGTCTTCTTGCTCTTTCCCTTCTCCTCGTCATCATCAGGGCGGGCGCCGCAGTAGGCGAAGCAGGCGATGAGCAGCAGCATGAACACAGCAATGAACACGCCCAGCGCCACAAAGGCCTCCATGCGCAGGTTATCACGCAGCAGTGTGAGCAGCCCGCCCTGGCAGTAGGGGCAGCTGTAGCACAGCTGGCTTGGCTCCGCACTGAACCCGCTGCAGTTGCTCGTGCTGCGCTGCACCGTGGGTGCGGCGTCGGCGGAGGGGAGGGGCAGCTTGGGCATGGTGGGGAGGTCGAAGGCGAATGAGTAGTAGACGGGCGCTGACATGTTCAGCCCGCCCAGCACACAGCCCTGGGGGGGGAGACAGCACCCCGCCTGGCGCGGTAGAGGCGCATTGGGGGGTGGGGAGGGAGAGCGGGGGGAAACAGAGGTAGAGAGGGGGGATGGGGGGAGAAGGAAGGAGTGGTAGGTGAGTGGTGAGGTGAATGCAGAGGAAAGTGGTGCGGTGAATGAGTCTCTCTGCAGTTGGTGCAGTCGTCACGCGAGGAAGCTTAACGCTGCTTCCACTGCCCCTCGCGCTCCATTCCCCACTCCCTCCCCGCAAGCCCGCCTTCTTCGGCTTCCCTCACCACACTCCTTACCTCGAGGGGGGAGAGCTGCGCTTTCTTGAGGTTGCGCCCGATGTAGTTGCGCACGTCCCCGCACGTGCGCGCGCCGCTGAGGCACGAGGCGAGCGGCGCCCAGCGGTCCCCCGCGACCTGCTGCTGCATCCACGCGCTGAACTGCGCCGGCTCGAACACCGTGAAGCCGCGGCTCTTCTCTGTCGACGCGCCGCCCGGCCCCGTCACCACCAGCGCGAATACTGCGCAGGGGGGAGGAGCGCTCGGAGGGGAGAGTAGGAGGCGGATGTACAGGATTGGTTTCGCGCAGGTTTGGTAGTTTGCGGTTGGGTAGGTAGGTCGCTGGTTTGCATGTGGGTTGCATTGGATACCGTGGCTGCTGCGTGCGACAACGCGGCACGACCAGCGACCATTGGCGAACCCGCATTTGAACTGTGGAATGCCGAAAAAAAAATGGCGACTCGAGGATAGGGGCACGATAAGTGGGGAAATACGGAGCGGGAGGGGAAGGCGGGGCAGGGAAAGGGCGTGCGGGGGTAAGATGTGTCGTGGGGGGAGGGGGGGTATTTCGGGGACTGACTGGCGAAGGCGAGGAGCGCCCACATGGCGGTGAAGGAGACGGTGAGCTGCATGCACACGAGGCACGAGTTGTCGCACACCAGCGCCAGCAGCCCCACAAGCGCGCCGATGAACAGCGCCGCGCCGATCGCCATCAGCGGCATCTGATACATGATCAGACACGTGCTGGGCGGCGAGCTCCACGTGGTGTAGAGCGATACGCCGATGAGGGCGAGCGCGAGGCAGAGGATGAGCGTGTTCGCGATCGCCGTCAGCAGCTTCTCAGTCCTCATCGTGACCGTCCGTCCTCTGCTCGTGCCCGATTGGCCTGAATGTCGATGGCTATACTAGACTGTCAACGATGGACGCCGGACCGCGAATCTCCGTGTCGCGACCGTCTCTACAACCTCGCTGGCTGCGAATGCCGGCTTCGGGGATCTGCTTCGTTGAATCTGAACCGTTTGATCACCATGTGCGTCGATTTTCACGGCGAAACCGCAGAAGACTTTCAGTGATCGAGGCGGTTCGATGGCCGCAACGAGGTGGCGTGGCGCTTGACCTAATCCCTCGAAACCATTCCAATGGCGCCGGGGCGAATGCGAGTGTAAGGGCGAATAGATAAGAGCCCAAGAGAATGCGGAGTGAATGCTAGAAACAACGACTGGGGCGGGGAAGCATGAAATATATGACTGGCACAGCACGGGACGGGCACGGCGTGAATGCACTCCTTTAGGAATGACGACCGCGATGGCGGCGTCATCCCCGGCCAAATTCCTTGAGTCAACATCGCTCGTCGCATGAACATGGCGTGGCACCATCTGTGGCCAGCTCCACTCATCTCAGCTCACTGTACGTGGTTTTCAACAACCGACGTGGTTCACCAACTAGGGCGCACAAGGCGCAGCAGTGCAGTGGTACGCGCGCAGTAAATGCTACGGCAGGCCCGAAGATGAATTCTCCCCACCTCCTGCGGCAAGGCGCGTGGCCGCCAGCCCACACAGCAGGCGGCCTGAGGCGAAAAAGATTCGGTTCGGGTGCTGGCTGGGGCAGCTGGAGTGGAAGGGAGGAGGAGGGAGGAGGAAGGGAGAGCTACACGACAGGGACGCCAGGCTGGGAACTTCTCGCGTTATAATCAGCTTGGAGATTCAGCTACCTCCGAACCGTTTCTATATACGGTAGTGGGATGCATCATCGCCTACCACATAATTACAAATATATGTGAGCATTATTTACAAGTGATTCCAACGGGTAAAAAGGCATCACCTACCGCATTCACCTAGGCAATTGGCTAACCCAGCACAACATAACAGAGCACACTCACAGCAGTCCCCGCACGAGCCACCGCCAGTGCAGAAGCTCCCACAAGAATAATCCTCCTCCTCCCTCATCTCTTCTCTCGCCTTTTCTCGTCTCTCCCTCATCAACACAGCATGACCATACCCTCCCATGCCAAGCAGCACAACCAGCAAGCAGGCAGCAGCAAGGCACACACAGCCAGCCAATGAGAGGTCGTCCCTCACGACCTTGAGGAGCGCTGCCTTGCACGTGTCACAGCTGAAACACCTCCCACTGCCATCTGTCCCACCACCACTGCAATTTGACAAGGCTGTGGAATTGCCATGAGCGGCAGAACCCGCAATGGTTGGTTGAGAATGGTTCTCAGCGTGGAGTGACTCTGCTATGGAGAGAGCAGACATTGCTGCTGCTGCTGAGAGGGTGACTGATAGGCCAGGTGACGGGGCAGGCGACAGGGCAGGTGACGTGGAAACGGCTGTGCTCTTGCTGCATGAGCTGGGGGAAAAGCAGCACCCACTCTGAATGACCGATAGGCTTTGAATGTTAGAGCTACCTGAACCAGCTGCAATGCTGCTGCTGTTGTTGTTGCTGCTGCTGCTGCTGCTGCTGCTGCTGCTGCTGCTGCTGCTGCTGCTGCTGCTGCTGCTGCTGTTGCTGCTGATATTGTGTATCCCTGCCATCTCTCCCCCAGCACCCCCCCACGGCGGGGGCAGGGCAGGGCAGGAGCTGTTGGAGACGAGGCACATCTGTATCTTCTCCCATGCCTCAGCCTGCGCCACCAGCCCCTGCAGCCACGGCGAGAAACCCGCCACGTCATACACCGCCTGCCCTGCCGCGCCCACCGTGGCACTGGGGGACGGCGCTGTTACTGCCAGGGCGAAAGCTGCAGAGGGGGGGATGGGGGAGACGGGCCAGATGTGGAGGGAGACGGGGTGGATGGGGCTTGAGGTGATCAGGGGGAATCAGACGAGCACCCATAATCGGTTACACAGGGCAACGCACTCGGCCAGCGCTGCTGCTCACCTGAGTAGGCCAAAAGCGCGAGCGTGAGGGCGGCGGAGCAGCAGAGGAAGAGGAATTCGAGGCACCCCTCGTGCACGAGTGCGCCGATCAGCCCGATTATGCTCACGCACAGCAGCACCACGCCCATCGCGTTGCTCGGCGCGTCCAGCCTCTGCGCGCACGCGCTGCCACTGCCGCTGGCGGGGGGAAGAGAATGGCGCAGAGACAGGGAGGCGCGGCAAGGGTGAGGTGCTGCGGGGAATGGATGGGTACGTGAGGCTGAAAGCGCTGTGCGTTCGTTGAGGTGTGCGCAAGAGCGCAATGGCGGAAGAGCAGAAGAAAATGGAGCAGCAGGTGGGGAAAGTGCGCGCAGACCTGAGCGCGAGGTAGATGGCGAGCGCCAAGAGGCCGATGGATATTGCCGCCGCCCCACCCGTCGACGCTACCAGAAAAGCTCTTGCAGGCTTCATCGCTGCGCGCCGAGCGGCGTTGGGTGGTTGGGAGACAATACGCGTTTAGCCGATCGCTGCGTGGTTCAATCGGGAGACGAGTGGACCGTCGCGAGCAGGAGCTGTTGTGGGCGAGGTACTGAGACGTGGTGACGCGTATCGCAGCGGAGACGCGCAGAGAGAAGGCGAACGGAGAGCAGGGAGGGTGGGCGGGTGATGGTGGCTAAGATTGAGCACGGACGGGCTATGTGGTGGCTGCGATCTCGATGGATGGTTAGATCGTGCGACGACCTTGGGGCGTGCGAGGCGGACCCGAGAGAGTAATGCTTTGAACTTTCCATGTTCGCCGGATCGAGGCGAGAATCTAAAAGGGGTATCGGTGAACGGAATGGCGGCGGCTGATGTATTGAGGACGACGGAGTGGCTTGGCGGAAAGTGCGGGATGGGTGGTGCCAGGAAGGCACGCCGCGTTTGCCGTTACAGCAGGGAAGTGGAAGGGTGGTGCTAGGGAATGGGAGCGCGGGAAACTTGTCAGTTTCATGTGACATTCTCGAGGCGTCGATGGAATAACCTAATTTCTTTAGAGGGAAAGCTACAGTGAGACGTCTTAGGGCGCGTGTGATCGGTGGAATTTGTGAAAGTTTACATTTTAAGGGCGAGTTGTGCTACATGAACATATGTCGAACCAAACTCGACTTTCATTGTATCGGGGTTCGCACATCTGGACCACAACACTGCAGAAAAGCACACACATATACAAGGTCGAGTGCGCGTATTCGAACTTGTAAAAACGCACCGAACCGCATTTCTACAAAGTAGGTTACCCGGTTCTAAAAAGTAGGTTACCCGATTATCGCCACGTGGTCTCTATTCAGTACACGAAGGCTGTGGTGAGTTCGTTGTGAAACTGTTGCTACTCGTGAGTCGCTCGCACATTTCGCCAGATGCTCGAACGTGCGGGAAATCACACACGTGAATGTGAACATGCCGAAGCACGTTCACAACTAAAACTCGAGTCTTGTTCAAGTTTGCAGTTCGCATGTTGCCAAACCCAAAGTTGACGAAGTTTCGCTCGTAGCTTTATGCGACATTGGCGAAACTGGTAACCACACAAAGTTCGCACTTTTTTTTGAATTTCAAATCCGACCTCACACGCCCTTATATGCAACAAACCAGTGAAGCGATATTTGGGGAATTCAGTGCACTCAAATAGAATATTGACAATTAGCCAGCCAGAACCAGCTTGTGGAACTTGTCTAGGCACTGAAGGGCGAGGTTGAAGCGGTGGTCGTCGACGAGCAGCACAAAGCGGCAGTAGCCGGGAATGCTCGTCCAGTCGCTATTGTTGATCATCAGCCCTGTCGATGAGAACAGCGCCTCGGATATATTGACACTATCGAGGGTGACTGTGACAGGTTGAGGCTCTTGATCGCCATTGGTTGACGGCGGCTGGTACGTGAACTGCTTGCCCTCGTAGGCCGTGGGGCGTGCCACCAGGAATATTCCCCCCTCTGGGCGAATGGGGTCCCAGCCACAGGTTGACAGAACCTGCCAGTGAGAGTGTTGGGGAAATGCAGGTGATATGGCTGGTTGAGTGCCGACAGCGACAATGATTGCCTTTATGCAGGTGGAGAGTGGGATGCTGGAGGCAAAGGCAAGAGAGAGTGCGGTGAAAGGGTGTGCAGCAAGAGGGTGTGCAGCAAGAGGGTGTGCAGCAAGAGGGTGTGCAGTGGCGCACCTGGCATAGCTGGTCCGCCCTCTGCTGCAGCTGCTCGCGCCGCACTGCCATCTCCCCCGCGAGCTCCGCTGCCACCTGCAGTCAATGCAAGGCAGCATGGGAGGCGACATGACCGAAATGGATTGGTCAATTGCGATGACAGGGGGGCAGCAAGGGCAGGTGAGGCTTGTAGGCATGAGGTCCGTCGGCTGTGACTCGTACAGCCAGCGAATGGCACCTTTTCTGACTCACCTCGTTGGATAGCATTCGCTTGACAGCAAAGCGCAGCGTGCGATGAGGTGGCACGGCGGTGCTGAGGGCCTCCTTGAAGGACGAATCCCAGAATGCCACGTAGGCAAACTGGATGCCCAGCGTGGACAGCTGTGGAAGACGAGAGCACAAAAGATAGGGTCGAAGCAGGGAGAGAGGGGAAAGGATGAGCGAGGCACGTGCGTTCAGCTTGCAATGCCATCCCTGTGGAGTTGAGGTGTGCCCTAGATCACGATCAGCAGCGATACGAGCTACCGGGGTGGGCACAGGCAGCAGTGCGTGTACCTGAGGCGAGAGGTCCCCCATGAGCACCAGCGCATAGCGCTCGTGCGCCTTCTCTCTCCGCTCCCCCTGCCCCTGCCCCTCCCCCTCCCCTTCCCCATCCACGTCATCCCCCGTGCGGGCGAGATAGGGTTCAAGGTGCAGGTGGGGTTGGGCGTGGAAGGTGAGCGAGTGGAAGGCAGAGTCGAGGATGACCCGTGCGCCCACGCGCATGCACACGGCCAGCAGCGAGGCGAGGTGCTCAGGCGAGTAGAGCGCCCCCGTGGGATTCACCACTGGTGCTGACAGCACCAGCCATGGGCGGGTCACTCCTGGTAACGCTGCCTCCAGCTGGCAACGGGGGGTTAGTGAATGATGGGTGGGCGAGGGGAGGGGAAGGGTACAATGAGAGGCAAGAGAGGAACAGGAGAAAGGAAGAGAGAAGCAGAAGGAAACGAGAGATAAGGACGAGGGGGAGAGAGAGCAGGCATGTATGGTGGGGTGTGACAGCCCTGTGGTAGCGCACCTGGTCTGCTGTGAGGTGTGACAGCCCTGTGGTATCGCACCTGGTCTGCTGTGAGGTGTGACAGCCCTGTGGTATCGCACCTGGTCTGCTGTGAGGTGTGACAGCCCTGTGGTATCGCACCTGGTCTGCTGTGAGGTGTGACAGCCCTGTGGTAGCGCACCTGGTCTGCTGTGAGGTGTGACAGCCCTGTGGTATCGCACCTGGTCTGCTGTGAGGTGTGACAGCCCTGTGGTATCGCACCTGGTCTGCTGTGAGGTGTGACAGCCCTGTGGTATCGCACCTGGTCTGCTGTGAGGTGTGACAGCCCTGTGGTATCGCACCTGGTCTGCTGTGAGGTGTGACAGCCCTGTGGTAGCGCACCTGGTCTGCTGTGAGGTGTGACAGCCCTGTGGTATCGCACCTGGTCTGCTGTGAGGTGTGACAGCCCTGTGGTATCGCACCTGGTCTGCTGTGAGGTGTGACAGCCCTGTGGTATCGCACCTGGTCTGCTGTGAGTGTGAAGCGCGTGTCAGCCGAGGTGACGGGCAGCACCTTGACCTCACAGCCACACAGCCGTGCCGCCGCCAGACACGTGCCGTATGAGCCCGCTGGGAAGACTGCCGTGCCGCCCTCGGCAGCACACGCCGCCATGAGGCGCACAAACAGCACCCTCGACCCGTCCCCCGTCACCACTGTCGTGCCCTCCGCCCTCACCCCAAACTCGCGGTGCAGCAGCTGGTACGGGGGGAAGAGGGGGAGGGAAAGGGGAGGGGGAGACGGTTAAGGGGAGGAAAATACAAAGGGAGGCGGTAGATGAGGGCGGGGGAAGCAAGAAGCAAGGCAGTGCGGGAATGGGACATGGTGGGTGGGACGGTGGTGTGGCAGGGGTGGGCACGCACATGCAGGATCTCAGCGCGGGGGTCGGTTTCGGCTTCATTGAGGTGTTGGCGCACGAAGCCCTCCACCACGAGGGGCTGCACCACTGACGGCGCTGGCAGCGCGCCCGACCCCACGTCCATGCGCACCGTGGGGGGCACTGTGGGGCCCGCCCCTGCCTGCGCTGCTGCTGCTGTGCTGCCCGTGGTGACAGTGGTGGAGGAGCAGAAGGGCGAGGGTGAGGGCAGGGCGTGGGTGAGGGAGAGGGTGCGCAGGGTGGGGTGGTTGAAGGCGCGCGCGGCGTTGGGATGGATGGAGATAAAGGGCGATGCGGGCGGGTCGTCCTGCAGTGGCCGCTGTTATGGTGGCACGGTGGGTAGGGGGAAAGACAAGAGAGGAAGAAAGAAGTGCTGGGATAGAACGGGCGATCAGAAGACATGATTGCACGGCAAGGAATGAGAGAGGCAGAGAGCATGGATGAGCCCATAACGACAGACTATCCCTTCCCCCCCACCTCAGCGACGGTGTGACGGTCGGGGATCTGGAAGGAGAGCAGCTCGTCCAGCAGGCAGCCGTAGTAGAGCTGCTTCATGCGCGCCACTCTGAAGTACGTCAGCTCGCCCATGCCCGCCAGCCACGCCAGCAGCGGGCACGACTCCGCGAGCACGAAGGCGACCTCGAGATCGCTGTACACCTGGTTGCGCACCAGCCCGCAGATCACTCCTGCATGGGGCGGCAGCGCCTGCTCCGCCAGGTACTGTAGCACGCCGTTGCTGGGCGGCACACTGGAGAGCTCAAGGTGGTCGGAGATGTCGAAGAAGACGCGCGTGTGGGTCTCTGCCGCGGCCGCCAGAAGGAGGTGCACCGCTGTGGGCGAGCGCATCTCAAAGTCGGGGAGTGCAGCGATGAGCACTGCGGGGCGCAGGGCGCGCAGCAGCTTCAGCAGCAGGTCGCTGCGGCGTGGCGCCTCCAGCACCACTGGGGTGGACTGTGGGCGGGGGAGTTGGAGGAAAGAGTGGTGGGGACGGGTGTGTGAGGGGTACTGTGAGTTGGAGAGGAAGTTGGAAGGGGGAAGGAAGGGAGGAGTGAGGGAAGGTATGGGAGTGTTGTTGGGCAGCAGCTTGTGATGCTCTCACATGCTCACCTGAAGCATCAACTGCACCTTCCCACACAGCATGTGACTTGACAACACCGCACCTTACCTGCCCTCACCCAAACACACAGGGTCACTGCATATGTGATTTGCCCACCTGAGCTTGAGTGGCGGTGTTGGAGGGTGGGCCATCAGGTGGGGCGGAGGCGAGCCAGGCGGGGGGGAGGTGGCGGGTGAGGGAGGCGTCAACGAGGGCGAGGCCCGGCAGGTAGAGGCGCAGAATGTTCTCCACTGCTGTGGCGCGCGTGGGCAGCACCACCACGTTCTGATGGGGCAGGGGAGACAGGGGTCGGGTTGGAAAGGAAGCGGAGGTGGACGAGGGAATGGGGAATGTGGGGAGGGGAGGATGAGAGAAGGACGAGGTGCTTCATGCAGAATGGAAGACAGCACACTTCACGTGAGAAACCTCTTTGCAACCCACTCCCATTCCCATCCAGTTGATGTGCTTCCTTCCCCTTTCATGTCAGCTCACTTCTCCTCCCACCACCCCCTTCACTTCTCCTCCCACCACCCCCTTCACTTCTCCTCCCACCACCCCCTTCCCTTCTCGTCCCACCCTCCCACCCTCTCCCCCTCGTCTCGCCTCTCCTCCTCCCTTTCTTTGCACGGACCTGGGCGGAGAGGGGGGCGCGGAAGTAGAGGCGCAGGAAGCCGGCGACCTGGGAGCGGAAGCGCAGCGTGCCAGCAGGGGGTTCGTCCGACGGGCACAGCGCGGGGGGCGAGGGGGTCAAGGAGGCCGAGGGCGAGGGGGCGAGGGAGGCGTGGTGCAGCGTGCGCAGCAGCGTGGCGAGGAAGGGCGTCTTCTCGTCCGCCACAGCATTGGAGGAGAAGGCCAGGTCCACTGCACTGCGTGTCGCTGCGTACTCTGGGCGAGCCAGCCACCGGAACAGCTCCTTCACCTGGTGGTGGGATGAAAACAGGTTTCAAGAGGAAGGTAGTTAGTCACAGGGATAAGTGAGTGAGTGAGTGGTCGAGCATGGCATGATAGCAGCTTGAATGGAGTCACAGTCATCACATGTGTGGCGTGCATGAGCTGGCAACAGCGCGGAGCAGCACGCCACGCCCCCACGCCCCCAGATACACTCACGTGGTTGGGCTGGCGCAGGCGGCACTCAAACACCGTGAGCCCATGCGCAATCCTTCCACCCGCCTTGGCAAACGCATACGCCGTCCTTGCACTGATGGGCTCATCACCCGTAGTAGCGGCCCCCATCCCAAGCCCCATGAAGAACTCAAAGCGATGCCGGCTCTGCCTCTCGATCTCCACCAGCGCCTGAATGTCCGTATCAGCCGCCTGGAACACCCTTGTCTGCCACAGCTTCTCGATCTCAAACCCGCGGCGGCGGAAGAGACGCTCGCACACGGCCATGCCGGGGCGGCCGCCCATGTTCATGAGCAGCGCGCCCGCGGGCTTGAGCGCCGCGATGCTCTCCTCCACGGCGCGAGCGATGAGCCCGAGTCCGAACTGGTCCTCTACGTAGCCCTGCAGGCTGCAGTAGTTGGACAGCGAGTACAGAAACTCCTCACTCATCGTCTCCGACACTATCTTCAACGCTGCCTTGGGATCGGGCGTCAGCACCTGAGGGGGGGGAGTGGGGTGCAGGAAGGAAGGCTAGTGAGAAAGTGGAAGGAGTAAGTGAGAGTGGAAGAGAGGTTGGGAAGGAGGAAAAGAGAGGAGCACAGAACGAGAGATAGGAGGGGTGCATGTATGTGTGTGTGTATGTGTGTGTGTGTATGTGTGTGTGTATGTGTGTGTGTGTGTGTGTGTGTGAGTGTGTGTGTGTGTGTGTGTGTGTGTGTGTGTGTTCAACCACACATGAGCACAAATCAGACAAGTCATTTAGCACGAAGCCACCTCGTCTGCGCGCATGCACAGACAGACACACACACACAGCACGAGTGCATCATACCCATCCCCACTAATCCCTCAGCACCTGGGGGATGCAGCCGACGATGCGGTCGAGTGTGACCCCGCGCTCAGAGAGCGCACCAAGCAGGTCGGATTCGAGGAACTCGCAGCGGTCGAGCAGCGACAGGCCGTCGCTGTCGCGCAGTGGCAGCCCGTCCAGGGGCGAGAGCGCGTTGAGGTACAGGTTTATCCACGCCACCTGCACTGCCCGTGGGTTGATGTCCAACCCGTACACCTGGTGGGGCGGGAAGGGGTGGAGAGGAGGAGCGGTGGGAGGAGGGGGGACGTGAGGAGGGGGATGGAGGGAGGAGGAAAAGGCGGGGTGAGGTTGAGTGGTGTTGGGGTGGAAGGTATACAGAGAGGCAAGGGGATGGTGACGAGGAGGGCCACAGCAGCAGGGGTATGACGGCCTCCCTTCCCCCCCATTGGCGCACCTTGCGGGGAGCCCAGCGGTGGGCGAGGGCGATGGAGATCCAGCCGTTGCCACAGCCCAGCTCGGCAACATCGCGCCCTGTGAACCCGGCGTCAGGGTGGCGGGTGAGCCCCTCGTAGAAGGTGAAGGACCAGTCCTCAGGGATGAAGATGGAAGGCAGCTCCACCAGCGCTAGCGTCTGCCGCGCCCCCCTCCCTGCACTGCCATTGCCACTGCTGCTGCTGCTGCTGCTTGTGCTCTCCCCTGCGCCTGCACTGCCGTTGGTGCTGGCGGCGCTGGCAGCTCCGTTTTGATGCGCCCCTGCAGGGTCGTGGTCTAAAGGGAGCGTACGGGCGGAAGGGAGAGAATGTAGAGAGGTGAGGGGGGTGAACAGCAGAGACTCTTGCTCGCCATGACTGTTTTTGGACCCCCCAGCCATGTGTCACCACCCTAAACATTCTCACCACCCATTACGGCGCCAACACCCATCTCCATGCATGGGGCATCAGAATTGAGATGGAAAAAGCATTCACAGGCTGGGGAGTGGACAGAGCTTTCCAGCGTGGGGGAGCAGGGAGAGCGCACCAGAGCGGGGGGAGCGGGGAGGGGGCACCAGAGTGGGGGAACGGGGAGGGCGCACCAGAGTGGGGAAGCGGGGAAGGCGCACCAGGGTGCGGGAGCGGGGAGAGCGCACCAGAGTGGGGAAGCGGGGAGAGCGCGAGTGTGTGGATGCGGAAGTTGAAGGTGCGCATCACCTCTTCCGCGGGCTCCGCTGGCATCGCCGCCTCCAGCGCCGCGAGGAACCTGCGACGCGCACCGGGGGGGTAGCGAAGCGCTAGTGAAGAGAGTTCGACTATTGAATTTCTCGTTGCGTCACGGGACACACATCTGATTCCAAGTTATCTGGAAGGACCCCTTGCACTTGCCTCTTCTCGCCGTGTCGCGTCACCTCATTTGCTCGCCATTTGATCCGTTAAAGGCCCCACCAACCGTCTTTTTTGTTCTTACTAACAAGGCGGATTTGTATTTTCAAAACGTGATTTTTGTACTTATTGTTCATACGGCGTGCTTCCCCTAATCGTGGTTCCGCTAAACGGATTCAAGATGTCGCATTGTGTCAGACAACGCCTCAGTAGTGACTGTTCACCACCAGCAAACGGGAACTCGCAGCCTTCCAATTACGGCTAGCATACCTTCTGGCGGCGGCTTGGGTTTCGGGATTGCGCAGCGCCTTGAGGATCTCCTTGAAGTTGGAATACGCCTGCGACGACAGGGTAGCCACGGGACGCACACAGCCGCGGAGAATGAGTAACGCGGGAGGCGAAACGAGAGCAAGCCCACCTGATTCAGACGACAAAGCAGCACAGGAGTGGGAGCTCACCTGATTGCCGGATTCTTTGCAGCTCGCGAGGAACGGTTCCACGTTATCTAGCGACACCGCCATCCTTCCCACGCCCGCAGGCAGCACCCGAGTGGTAATTTACAGTGCAAACTTGCGTCGACTAAATCTTGAAATGCCTGCGAGTAATTGAACAAGGTAATTTTCCCTGAAGAACGGAGAAGGGGCTCCAAAACTGGGCGTGGTGCGCGGAATTCAAGGCTGGCAGGAACAAAAGCAACAGCAGTATGCCCCTGGAGCCTAGAAATTGGTTCGGCTGAAATGAACCTTGGGGTTGCTTCGGGGAGGCCTGGGTGGAGGTATGCTTCGCACGAAGCCAAAGGGGGGAAAAATGTGGCAAGAATATGCCACCGTGCCGTGCCTGACTGGCACAGGCTTGGGTATTGGCTTGGCTCGGAGATTGTCCCAACCAACCAGCGGCTTGACACATGGCAACACCTGGGAACCACCCCGATCTGACGTGACGTGCTTTAGCATTCGTCATCAACATTACCAGAATACGTCAGGCCAGAAAATGCTGTTTAGAGGGAACGCGTGAGATGCATAGTGCATTGAATAAGGACAACACCGCCATTCATGCTACTATCTGTTCTTGTGGAAAGCTATAATGCTGAGCTGCTTTAACAAAGGTAGTAGAAATAGGACATCAGTTCACGAAATGACCTTGCAATTCGCAATGGTAGATTATGAATAGACCTGCATTGCTAAATAAATTGTTACAATTCATTTCTAAGACAAAAATGTGTGATTGTGACATCAGCAACAAAACCTTTGTATATCAAGAGCACACTCCATGATGCTCTACATGGTGGGAGGCATGCCTAGGCTGGATGCAAGGTCCTTCATGCGTAGCTTCATGGCCTGCATCACACATGAACAGGGTTTAAGAAAGACAAGGGAAAAGGGAGATTTGATCCACATGAGGGCCCGTGGTACAGGCATACCAGCAAGGAGCAGCAGGCGAAGGGTTGAGCACGTACCGTGACACTCTTCTGATGTGCGTCCTTGTATGCCTCCGTGATCAGCTCGCCCAGCTTCTGCTCGCAGGAGGGGGAGGGGCACCACAGCAGTGACACACATAATGAGGGTCCGGAATGCTCCACAGCTACTCCATCCATGGCAGTGGATTGTGGCAGTTCGAGGTGCAGCTGCTAGTCTGCTCACATCCCAACGCCCATGGTGACCCTTCTCCTCTTCCAACGCCCACGGCTACCCTGCTCTCATGCCAGTGCTCTCACCTCTGCCCCGAGCTCCATGGCAGCATCGGTGATCTCACACCGGCATGGCTCCTGGTTGCCCGTCAGGGTCACCTGCAATGCATAAATGTCAGCAAATGCGTCACGCGTGGGGGACAATCAGGAAAAGGAATGAGCAATGTTATTGGGGAATTTGCGCCACAGGATTTGACCATGGCCCACAGCATGCACGGTCGTTCATTCACAACAAATGGGTGACCAGCTCCGAAACGGGGGCGACAAGATTTGTGGCTCACAAAATACAGGGCTTTATTTGTCGTTAATTTTTATATGCCCCGTGTTCATCTGAATCCATAGGGTGCATGCTCAAAATGCGCGAGAGAGCGGGGAAGCGCAGACGCACCTTGACGAGCTCGTCTTCGCAGTAACCGTCGAACTCAGCCCTGCCATGGAGGGAGCAGGCAGAACGAGAATGCAGCAACTTGCGGCGGAACCATGCCCACAGCGCACCTCTACTGGCATACTTGTGGCTTGAAGTCACACGTTCCTACAACGTGGATGCATGTGAGGGAACATTCCGCAGCACCAGAGCGCACTATGACCAGACGAGAACAACTGACGCACTACCAAGGGCGTGAGTTGCGCCTGAGAGGGGCGTGGAGGGGAGGCGGGGGAGCGAGGGCGGGGGGCTTACGCGGCGAGTTCCTTCTGCACCTTGACGGCCTCCACCTGCACCACCTGCTGCGCCTT